GGTGTTGATACAAAGTCACTTTACACTGAGAGATTTAAAGAGATGTAGATCACTAGTGTAAATAAATGTAAGTTCTGTTTATGCTTATGTTTCTGTATTAACGATGATATCCCAAACGTTTTGAAATGAATAAAATATGTTTCTCCGAAAATGTTTTAATAACGTATTTATCATGTTTTTCTGGGAACAAATTCCGCAACATTTTTATTAAAAGAAGAACTCTGATTTTTATAAAGCATAAACAAAATCGGTCTTTTCTGGCCGTGAAAATGGGGATGTCACACTAATATGCATGTTGTTGATCTTCTCCTCCTCCTCCTCATCCTTAATCTTTTTTACAAAATAAAATAGTGAATAGTTACAACTTTATAATGCCCAGATGATGCATCGCGACCGAATACTAATGACATCCTTGAATAATCGTCTTTCAGAGATTTGGGAGAATCAATGGGGTGTTTGAACACCTGATTCTTGATTGGGTTAATAGCATAGAAAGAATGTTCGTCGTTCATGGCAAGTACCAACCCATTACAGGCACCGACGAGCTCGAGCGGTTCTAAGAATCAGTGGATTGGAGATTGCAATCGGGGTTTCGACGAGTCACTCATGTAGTACGTATTTCCGTCGAAATGCATAATATGTGTGGAAAACTTTCAGTTTTTGGCATGAAACTTCACAAATTGGTCGTTGGAGATGACTCGACCCCATTTCTTTGAAACCTTTGTAAACCGGCCTAGATCTTTGATGGGAACTCGAACAAAGCATTCTTTCAATAGTTCGTCGGGGAGGCGTTCAATGGAATCAGCCGACAAGGACTTAACGGTTTCGTTAGAGAAATATTGAATGGAAGGGAATAAGGTAGGAGGCAACGAGGATTCGTCAGTATGGTGTTGAATAGAGGTCAAAAGGGGCGGAGGCGAAGAGGTTTCACCGATATCGCCCGTAAGATTGGAAAAAGGCGGCACAGAAGCAGCCGGAAAGGACTTAACGGTTTCGTCGGAAATATCTTGAATGGAGTGGAATAAGGTAGGAGGTGTGACATCCCCATTTTCATGGCGAAAAGACCGATTATGTTTATACTTTATAAAAATCAGAGTACCCTTTTTATAAAAATGTTGCGAAATTTGTTCTCAGAAAAATATGATAAATGAGTTATCAAAGCATTTTCGAAGAAATGTATTTTTTTTTATTTTTTTTTAAACATTGGGATGTCATCGGCAATACAGAAACATAAGCATAAACATAATTTACATTCATTATCACTAGTGATTTACATCTCCTTAATCTCTCAGTGTAATGTAACTTCATATCGATACCTGTGATACAAATACACTGACTGGGTCAGGTTGGGAAACCTGGTGAGTACATAGGTTTTCAACCCACAATAATATAATTAACTTGTTTCTTCACATAATACATGTCAAACAATTAACCCGATTACCCATCCTCATTTTATTCATTTGATATTCCCTAAAGTTTTACCTTAAGTTTCGTCTCCTATATCGTATTTACCTCTATCTCTTTACATCGCATTTCCTTATATGTTCGTTCCTAAGGATCATCGTCTACATCACACATACAATAATGGTTCGGGGATTACTCCCTCGATACGCACCTAGTAACGGTTAGAGTATCATCGCATGAATACATAGTTACAACATCGCCTGAACTCGTAATTCATCACCTACAGTTTATGAGCCTGCTGATGTTTCCACGGGGTCGTCTATAATAGTCTGTGGTCGCCATCTATACTCTGGTAGATGACTACATCTCCAAATTGCTGGACAAGGTTATAGTATCTTTCATCCTACATCACCGATTCATCATCACTTATCTATCCTCACCTAATTATCATCGCCTTCGTATCATCACCTATCTCTCATCATTTTATTTCATCACACACCAACTATTTCATCTACCCATGTTTTATCCCAACATATTTGTAGATATAAAATAAATATATAGTTTAAATCATTTAAAACATGTATAAAATCATTCATCCAATATAGACAACAAATATGCACACACAGCACGTAATTTATATAAAATACTTCATATCTATATGTAAGATGAAAGAGACCATGCACTCACTTGATAAGGTGGTGATTCGGTACTCGGACAACGCTTTGTTTACTTTAAAATAATTTCGTTCAACGAAACCTAATATTATTACCACTAGATTTTAGTCTAATATTTACCGTGACTAATTATTAGTCTTATTATTATTATTATATAAGCGTTTAAACAATACTTTCCAACCACTATGTACAGACAGGGCCATATATAAAACACCGGAGGGCAAGACCATTTATGCATATAGCACTTCTGAAATCCAACAACCATATGCAATCCTTTAAATCAGATTCCCCGTACCACGAGTAGTTAAAAAGATATTATAATGACACTTATATAAGTCATAATAATAGCTCAAATATTTATTATAAGTTCATAATAACAATATTAATTTTAAATATAAGCTATATTAAAATAAGGTAAGCATAACTTACTTACAAGGGGGGTTTTAGCCAGGAGTCGGGCTCTGCAGGGGCATAACTTCGTCGTTGAATCTTTCTAAGAAAGATTCGTGCAGCGCTTTAGCGCTCACCTTACTATACTAAAACTACAGAAAGAGAAGTCGAATCACGAGGGACCGAAATGTTCGGAGGATAAGAAGAGAAAGACTCTTGAATTAAGAGAATGATGTAAGAAATAAGCCTAAGCTTCTTATTTATAGTAATTGAATTTACAAAAACTACCCTCCATAATTACTTAATGACCTTATAGTTATATAAACAACTAAACACCCCTTCATAATACTATTTTAAATAGATTTAATGATATTTGTACTAAACTAATGTCGAATGTAGTCAACACTAGTCTTATAATAACCGCATCGTCGATACCTTTTTAATGATATATACATTTTTATATATACATATATATATATATATATACATATATATATATATATATATATATATATATATATATGATTTATACTTTATTTGAATACGTAAATATGCTATTATAATTTGTAACTCGTTCATACGAACTCCATTTTTTGACGTTCTTTATATCCACGCGTTGGTATTTACGAGTACTACAACTTTCATTTAGACGTCGTCGGCTAATTCTCATTCTATCTCGGATTTTCAAAACTGTATCGAATTCGTCGCACTCGAAGAGTAGGGACTAAACTCCATCCATATCTTTCGCATACGAGCTCCGTTTTCAACTGTCTTTTTATCATTTAACTCCTATTAACGATATCTCCATTTCTCGTTTAGATTATTTTTGCTAAAAATCGACCGATCTAAAATTCGAATTTTCGGGTTGTGCACTACTATGCTAAATCTTAGAAAAATCATAACTTTCTCGTACGAAGTCAGATTTGGACGTTCTTTTTATGGACGCTCTCAGTTTAACATATTCTGCGACTTTTGTTTAGATTACTAAGGCTAAAAAGTCCTCTATCGTAAATTCACTATTTACATCTCCCAGTGTCGTGTCGGTTTTGCCGAAAAACTTCGACGAGTCATAACTTCTTCGTTATAACTCAGATTTCGGTGTTCTTTATATGTTCGAAACCCTTGTAACATATAATACAACTTGGTTAAGATTAATCCTTCTAAAGAATCTTCCATCAAAAACTTATTTTTGATGTTTATTGTCTCTAAATTGACTAGTCCGGATCTGCAGTCATTACAGGATGTGACGAGGATTCGTTAGTAGGGTGTTGAATGGAGTTCAAAAGGGGCGGAGGCGAAGAAGTTTTGCCGATATCGTCCGAAAGATTGGAAAAAGGCAGCAAAGAAGCAACCGATAAGGACTTAATGGTTTCATCGGGAATATCTTGAATGGAGTGGAATAAGGTAGGAGGCGACGAGGATTCACCAGTAGGGTGTTGAATGGAGGTCAAAAGGGGCGGAGGCGAAGTGGTTTCGCCGACATCGTCCGAAAGATAGGAAACACGCGGCGGAGAAGGAGGTAATAGGGCTACCGAGGACAAGGAGTCGCCCGAAAGATATTGAATTGATGTCCATAGGGGCGGAGGCGACGAGGTTTTACTGATCTCGTTGGAAAGATATGGAAGAATCGGTGGTGGCTGAGAGCCTAGAGAGTCATTGAGGTCGTCGGTGTGCGGCATTTACACGACGGAGTAGCTTCTTTAACTGATGCTGTAAAAAGTAAAATAATGTGGGCCTAATTTAACGTTGTATATAATTAAAAAAAAATCATCCCTATTGTATCTTGGGTAACGGCTAGCTTACGAGGATTTCGCAGAATTGAGTATAATCATCATCTATCACGTCCTTTCATCACGTCTTGCAACATCATTTTTCGATTTTAATTTTACATTTTAGATATTTTTTACCAACAATGGTTCTTAATTTTACATTTCCGATTTTAATTTTAAATTTTATATTTAGTGACACACCGCCATGTGGCATCTCCAGCAAGTTGCCATCAAACTTCAATTTAACATCACTAAATGTGCCTATTTTTTAAAAATTGGGATTCTCCCAATTTTTGAACACAAATTCAGAAGCTGGTTTCATTATGAAAAAATATAATTGGTTGTGTATATTTCCTCAGTGATGCATTCCTTTTGGTGTATTGGAATGAATAACTAATCTTTAAAATAGGTAGTATGAATAATTAGATATAAAAGTTGAATGGGTTTTAAGACTTCCCACATAGTTGCCATGAGGAAAAAGAAACGAGTATATAAGTCAAAAGGCTATTTAGAAGTTTAGATAACATTTATCATATGTATTTTGTTAATCTTTTGTAAGACAACAAGTGAATTTGTGTTTCATATAATGTGAAGTTAATGAAAAATGGAAATGTTCGAGCTTAAGTGAAGAATAATATGTTATGATAGTTGAATGTGTAGTTGAGATAATGCAAAAAGATATTTGGAGTTAAAATGAAAAGTTATATCATTATGACATTATATATCAAATAACATGGAGAGGGATGGTTGTAACCCATTATGATTATGGCGGATGTTTAACAGATTTGGGAGATGTATGCCATTGCCAAGAAGTTGAACATGCTGTTAGGGGGACTATGCCAGTCATCAACAATGGATCTGGAAAGAGGACAATGGACAACAACTCAACTCATTCAAGGAAAACATTAAAACAAAATTCATCTTTCATTCAATATAAACTTCACAACAATTACAATAAACATCAACGATCATTGTTCCAATGTACTAAGAGTCTAAAATACAAACACACCAACAAACAAACAATCATTATCAAAACAAACTCAAGGCACCAAGAAATAGAAACCTCATGGTATTACTTTGATTCAATCAACTCCAAACTGAAATCCCACAACTTCTTAAGCATTTCTGAATCATCAACATATTTGCTTGCTTTTGATATGTTACAATCAGCAAAATACTCACCACTAACACCTTTCACTTGTGGATGCATAGCTACATAGCATGTAGTTGCAGCTCCTTGTGGGATATTTTTCAACAGACTAAAAGCTATCTTGCTTAATATTGAGGCCACAAATCCTTGGTTTCTTAAAAGATTGGTTTTAATAACTCCAGGGTGTAATGAATTCACACTCACATTCACACCTTCTTCCTGATTCCACCAAAGTAAAAGCATATTAAATTCACGGGCTCAAAAAAAGTTTGTATTTTTATCTAAGAAAAAAGTCAAAAGCAATCACCTTGAGGCACCTTGATAGCTCCTTAGCATGTAATGCATTAGCAAGCTTTGATTGCCCATAAGCATGAAAAGCACTATAGCTGAAATCAACAAAATCAAGTGAATTATTTGTTTTATGAATTATGTTATAATAATAATAATAATAATAAAATACCTCTTTTCATCGTTGATCTTGTCAAACCTAATTCCCTCAGGGTATGCCATCTTCTGGAGCTCAGATGAAACAACAACTATCCTTCCTTCTTTTTGGGTTTTACTTGAAGTCTTTTTCATTGTATCCAACAACAAATTTGTCAAAAGAAAATGACCTAAAACAAAGCAAAAACATAAGAACATGTTTTACTAAAGAACATTTTCATTTTACATTATTTTTCTTTTTGATGTTTAGTGAACATTAAGTCATTAACATTAACATACCAATATGGTTGGTTGCAAACTGCAATTCTATGTTGTCTTTTGAAAGAGTGAATGGAGGAGACATGATTCCTGCATTGAGACTTTATAAAGGAGACATAAAAAAAAAAAAAAAAAAAAAAAAGTCAAAAATGCAACTTTCAAGAATTGGAATCTTGAAATCTTGATGAAGGAATTGGTTTTATACATTAGGATGTTTAAAGGAAGATCCTTTGAAATGTATTGAGATGCAAAATCCCTTACAGATGCCTGTGAGCTTAAATCTAACTCCATTACATCGATTTTGGCATTTGGGATTTTCTCACAAATGCTTGCTTTGACTTTTTGACCAAGTTCCACATTTCTGACTGGCATCACCACCTGGACCCCACGTAAGGCAAGAACACGGGCTGTTTCTAAGCCAATACCACTTGAAGCTCCTAAATATTCACAAATTTGTAGCAAGGTTAGTGATATAACAGAAGGAATTGGTGAATCCATATATTACAAGAGTCTTGTTATGTCAATGATTTGTACAGTTTATTGTTAAAAGATAGTTGAAATTTTGTCATAATGAATTTAATAGGTTTAAGAAACTGTCATGGTTAAAAGTTGTTGCATTTTTTATTTGTTCTCATCATATACGATTTTCACTTAAAAGAAGAATCAAACATAAAAAATAGCCTCGTGACATTAGTTATGTTTTATATAATTTTTATAATATCTTTTGGTCAAGAAACTAGTCCTATTTTATACAGTCGCGTTTTAAAAATAAAATGATGAACTACTCATAAAGTAAAAAAATAACCAAAAAATTTGCAATCACAATCACCATCCACAAAGCTTCAATTACAGTGAGAAGTTTGACTTGTAAGAGGAAATATGCAATAGAATCATGATCAGATCACAAATTGATTCTATAGAAACCATTTCAAAGAACCCCTTTTTTATGATATTCAATTAGCCAATTAAAGGATCATATAGATTGAAAGATTGACGTGGTCCAGAACTGATAACAAGAAATTTCACAAGAACGCGTTTGAGATATAAATTAACAATGGGAAAGCAAAAAGGAAAATTCTAGAATCACTGTGTAAAGCCAATCTTTGAACTGTTCGAGCATTACCCTTTTGACACATTTAAGAGAAACAAAGCTAGAGAGAAGAAAATTACTAGTAACAATGGCGATTTAAGAGAAGCAAAGCTAGAGAGAAGAAGATTACCGGTAACAATGGCGGTGAGGCCAGCTCCATCGATTCCATTGGTAACATCTTCAGCTTTAGAGTTTGCTGAAAACCCTGATGGCCCATTGAATAATGAGAAAATCCAAGTCATTTTCCGCCAAACTTTTGATTGATTGGTCTCAGAAACTTGTTTTTTTATCCAAGATTCAGAAGACCTCAGTCGAAATTGAGTTGTAAAGAAGAAGATGGCGACCGATATTTGAGTGGAAATAATAGATTGAAAATTGACTATTGAGAGAAGGGGGTTTCAGATTTCAATAGAACAATAAGAACAATAAGAACACAAAGGCGGCTTTGGCCTTTCACGCGATTTCTGCTTAAAAGTAGGAAGTTCCATTTGAAATTTAATTTGATGATGTGAAACCGTTTAATTGAATAGCAAATAATGTCCTTCTACTTTACATAATTCTCAATTTGACACCGTATCTTAAGTTACTCCATTTCGTTTCTAAAAATTATATATTCAAGAATATAATGTTTAATTAGCTTATGATTTAAAATATAATAATAATCACATACAATGATACTACTAGCAAATTAGTAAACATACACTGAATAAACTTAAAAAAAAAAAAAAAAAAAAAAAAAAAAAAAAGTTGTAAGACTCAAAATAGAAAATTTTAACCTTTTTAATAACTTAAAACAAGATAATGATACAATAGATTAGAAAGGCTAACTAGAACTTTTTATAAAGACCATCGTTTAGATGACATAGTGAGATCTAAGCCCTCTATAAAAGTTGTTCAGGGTTTTAATAGTCAAAATTAGCTTCAATTTTGTGGTAATGTGTGTTTAGATATAATTAATTTTTAAAAAAATAGATAGTTAATCTAATAATATATTAAACTTTGAAAAAATAAATGGATTTATGATAATCTCAATCCATCTAAATAAAGAAGAAAAATGTTTTTAAGCAATGATACAAAGGGCTTTTTTTGTTTATCTTACTAATATATGAGTTTTTTATATTTATAATAATATATATTTACTATTCTTCACTTCATAATCATATCCATTATATATTTATTTATATTCAACAACATAACTTAATTGACCTCCTCTTTTAATGTTATAAATTTAGTGATTATCTTATTTACAATACAAAAATTAAAAGAAAAACGATTTGGTGTTCACCTTAGACGAGAAGGAGTAGGTGTAGTCTGGACTGCACTTCCCTTGTTATATAAGCACAAACACCGCTTCTAGGTACGTTAGAGAGTGTACTGCATCCTTCCAAAGAAGCATTTATTCAAACAATCTTCTAGCAATGTGATTGATTCTTTTTCTTTCCTCCCTCTGATTGATCAATTTTATTTATTAAAACAAAAAAAAAATTTAAAATAAACAAATGTGACAACACTCCTTGTGTGTGGTATGAAACCATACTTTTGTGATAATGGGTGAGGTAGTATATCAGTGGCGGACCAATGTAGGGCATTTGGGGTCTCGGGTCACTGCTCAATTTCCGGCACGCAGTGTAAATTTTTTTTTTTTTTTTTTTCCTATTACGTGCACCCGCTTGAAGTACGAGGGACACCCCTACTAAAACAGTCTGCGTAATTTTGATGAGGAAGTGTATGTGGTTTTCATGAGAAAGTGCGGGCATTGGTGTTATGCTAATTTTCACAAAATGAAGGACGATATGTGTCTGCTCCTGGATGTTGGAGGTTCACGTGTCTTACATGGTCGTTGGTCAAATACGGGTGGCTTTATTTATCATTATTATTATTAAATCCTCTAAAGTTTGACGTTTTGGGTTCATTTGCGAGAAAAACAAAATGACAAATAAAAACAAACAAAAGAAAACAATGGGGACACTAATCATCATTAATTTTTATGCTTCGATAAAATTGAAAAAAAAGTTATATGTGGTTTGCATTTTCTGGTTAATGTCTAAAAAAGTTATAACTTGTAAAAATAATCTTTAATTGAGGGTTTTATTGTGGGAGTTAGATTCCTACGTAATAGTTTTTCTTCCAACACAAAAAATTGTATTTTAACAGCTATAGTTTAAGCTTGTTAACTCAGATAAAATGACAAATTTTCTTTTTATATAATTTTTTTTATTTAATTAACTCCTTTGTTATCATTAATAACAGAAAAATGGGTCCAAACCCCTACACCATCCGGCTTACTTAATCCTTCCAGAACCTTTTCCCTTTACCCATTTTCTTTTCTTTCCAAAACTAGTAACTCCCTCCAGCAGCAACCTAACCTAGTCGGAGAAGCATCACTTTCGCCATCATCACTAAACCAACCACTCCTATCGCCATTGCCATTGCCACAACACCAAGCACCAACCATCGATATCACCACTACACAAAGACAGTGGTGTGTGACTAGTGATTTGAGATTTAGGGGTTAGAGATGGTGTTATGGGAATCAAATCGAAGGTGGAGTTCCTTGACGAATCTAGAATCAAAAATCACGTTGGTATATATATGGTGATACTAGCGATAGTTGTTGCATCCCATGTTTTCATCTCTTCTCCTCCAACATCTTTAATCAACCATCAAGACTACCTATTATCTTAAATCTTGTTGCAAATCAGGTCCCCATATGCTGGTGGATGGAATCCAATGTGTCTTGTGTAAACTCAGTCATCTAGTTTTTTTTTTTTGCTTGACTTCTTCTTCTTCTTCAACCTTTAATTTGGAACTTTTGTAGGTTTTGACCAAATGTGGGTATATTTTAATTTGCCGATTGAAGTTCATTATATAGGTATATTTGTTGGTTTTATTGTTCCGGTCATTACAAATGATGTTCAATGGTCGTTTGGTCGGATCTTACAAGAAAAAATGAGGTTGTCGAAGGAAGGTACTAGTCGGAGGAAAGGATAGAATGTGTAGGGCTGGGGGCTAGAAGAAATGATAGAGAAGTGAGGGTGAGTTGGAGGGGTCTACGTGTAATATAATTATAATAATAAATAGATATAAATATAAAATAGAAAATAAAGGTAAATTAATAATTTTCTTTGGACTTAACAAATTGGAGTTAGTAGTGTTAAGTTTAAGGACCAAAACATTGTCATAGAGACTATTTTTGCAAGTTTTTTTTTTTTAAACTTTAACCAAAGTAAAATATAAGTCATATAGACCGTTTTCAGACAAAATTGCAAGAATGGTCCCTGTGGTATGTCCAAAAATGTTACTTCGGGCCAAACAGGTTTGGACTAGCACCAATAGTCCAAAAGTTATCATTTTGTTGCGGTTTTAGTCCAAAACAGTTTAATAAATCTAAAAATAACGGATTTGCCCTTTTCCATTTGTTTTTTTGTTTTTCTCTTTGTTATTTAATTATTTTATAACTAAAAAAATATCAAAAATAAAATAAAAGAAAATATTTCTCTCTCTCTCTCTCTCTCTCTCTCTCTCTCTCTCAAGATAACAACCAACATACCCTTTCTTCCATCATCTTCCTCAACGAGCTCTCCATCAAAAACACATCAGAGTCTCTGTTATTTTTCCTCTAAATTAAAACCCACTTCCATCTTCATCCCTTTCCCCTAAGAACAAGAACAAAATAACTCAAAGTCAGAAACCCTACAAGTTGAAGCAGAAAAAGATGAATCAATCACCGACCCAAATCATCAATTCTTCAAATTACAAGCATCTTGTCAAAACCCAGACCCTTACCTCGAAGGAAAATTCACTCTCTAGAAAGATCGTCGGTCTTCCTAGCACCTTTCGTCCTTTCCCCTACCATCATTAACACTGAACCCGAACAACCTGAATCTGAAATAGAACAACACGAAACCCTGATTATCAATATTGCAGAATTCGAAACCGAATATAAAGGATATGAAGAAAGATCTGGCAACTTCTGCTGATTCGTTCCACAACAACAATCAACAACGATGGTTCCATAATAGCAGCGTCGGTGGTGGCAGGGGTTGCTCTATCGGCTTTTGCTGCTTCATTTCTTGCTGTTCCAACGAACTCAACGAGAGGGAGAGCAGGGAGGTAAGAGCTTTCAAAATAGAAATTTGGGTTTGATTTTATAGATGAAGGTGAAGAAATCTAGGTCAAAATCGAAATTTAGGTTTGATTAGGGAAGAGAGATAGGCATGAAGGAAAGAGATGGGGAGATGGCGAAAGGGTGGTTTATAGTGACGTGAAAGAGGGTGATCAACAAGAAATCAAGAACATAAGGGAGGAGTTGTGAGCGGTTTCCAGTGACGCTACCTTACTGGTGGTTGTGGGTGGCAATTCGGTGGCTGTGGGCGGCGACTGGTAACGATGAACTTGTCTTCTTTGGTAATAACCCGTACTTCATCAAGATGGTTGATGGAGTAATGGAGTTCCATTAGTGTGTGTATGTGTGTATTTTAGGTAAGAACACAATCACGTAAGAGAGGAGAGAGAGAGAGAGAGAGAGAGAGAGAGAGAGAGAGAAAGAGAAAGAGAAAGAGAGAGAGTGAGTGAGTGGGTGAGTGAGAGTGAGAGAGAGTGAGAAAGAGAGAGAAAGAGAAAAGAGAGAGAGAGAGAGAGAGAGAGAAAGAGAGAGATTGAGAGAGTGAGTGAGAAAGAGAGAGAGAGAGAGAGAGAGAGAGAAAGAAAGAGATATGTATTTTCTTTTTTATTTTTCTTAAATTATAAAAGTATTTATATAAATAAATAAACTGAACAAACAAAATCCAAGGGCAAAATTGTCATTACAAAAAAGTTTAAAGTAAATTGGACCAAAGTGGCAAGAAAATGAAAACCTTTGGACCATAAATGCTAGTCGAAACCTGTTTGGCCCAAAGTGACAATTTCGACCTAACCACAGTGACCATTCTTGCAATTTTGTCCCGTTCTTACGTTTTTTTTTCTTATGCTTCTAAAACATAATTATACTAAAAATTTATATCAGTTTTAGTTTTAGGAAAACTCAATAATATCTTAGATACTTCGATAATGGAAACCTCTATTATGTTTTTAATTATTTTTGTATATATATATATATATATATATATATATATATATATATATATATATATATATACTAAACTAGTATTTAAGTCATCTCAGGTGTTGCGACGGAGAACTCGTTTGCAATTAATAAAAATGGAAACCATAAACATAATCATGTAACAAAACAAAACATAACTTTAATATGAGGGTAACTTTTTGCAATTCGTTAATAGAATATGATTTAGAAATGTTAACAATTGATATATAGTACAATGACGATTATATCATATTAAATGAACCATAAAAATAAAGAAGAAGTTTGATCCATATATATGGAGGCGATGGACGAAACTAAGGTTTGAAAGTGTATTTTAAGAAAAACTAATAAAAAAGAAAACTATAAAAATAAATTACATAAATGAAAAAACATAACTTTAAAATATAATAAAGGATCAAAATCGTAATCTATAATTTGTATAAAAAACATAATTTTGAAATGCTAAGAGTCCACATATATAACGGTAACCATATACAATATTAAGTGGTATTAAAATAAATTTGTAATCTTAAAACCACATAAAATACCATAAAAATCTGTAACATCTATATAAATTAGGTATAGAGATTAAGAATGTAAGTTAATACATTGAAAATTTGTTAGGTTTAAATAAAAAGTAATATTAAGAAATACGAAAATTATAAATAAAAAATTGTGTAAGAGATTAAAACGAAACTTTAAAATATAATAAGAGTTCAAAATCGCAACTCATAAAATATCGATAATTTAACTTTAAATTATAAATATTGAAAATGAAAAATATTATATCAAAATTTTTTGAAGGGATAAAGTATAAATATGATAATATGCTTTCCAAAAAATAGACTCTTATTTTATAAAATAATGTGTAACTTGATTTGGTTTTAACCATTTTTAGAAATAATAAAGGAAAATCAAGAGTGCCCGTTATTCCAAATTAATACATAGATAATGTTCGTCTTATAATAATTTATTATAGAAATAGTAGAGATGACATTAACTATCTTTGATAATTATTTATAACTATAAATTGACTTCTTCGAGTTTCGCGTGGGAAGTATCGGTAAATTTGAAGGATTATGCTATAAATATCTCCATTTATTCATAACTAGGGGTACATAAAATACTATTTCCCTTACATGGAGAGGTACACACATTTAGGGCTACGTATAACAATTGCCAATTTTTAATTGTCTTTGCTAATTCATAAGTTTCAATATTCGATTTTCGATAAGGCATAATCTATAAATTTTATATTGAAAATGATAATTTTTCTAAGTTTTTTAACAAATGGACTATTTGCTATTAAAAAATTCGACATAAGAACATTTTTCTTTAAATTTTAAATTATAAGGATAATTTTGTAATTTATTTTTTATAAAAGGATTAAACCTATGAACATACGAAATCCTTGTGATGTGATGAAAGTCTTAAACTCAAAAAGTATACTATTTAAACTGCATATGGATGTTTTCTATAAATCATATGGATAATTTTATAATTTATTTAGGACAAATAACTTTTTCCATCTTTATTTTATTTATTTTATTTTATTTTTTGAATTTTTTTGCATAGATTGCTTAACTTTTTAGGTTTTTTAAGTTCTTTTAATTTTTGTTCACAATTTCATTTTTATAATTTTGTTTTTTTTTATGTTTTTATAGTTTAATTTTTATTTTTCTTAAATGTTTTACGATTTTTAACAACTTCAATCCTTTTTTACATGTTTTTTTTTTATAAATCCGTTTTTATAATTTTATTTTTTATATGTTTTTACAACTTGTTTTAATGGTGATAGAAGGTCTACAAGTTAAAGTGATTTAATGTGACTAATGTCACAAAAAAATAAAAAAAATAAATAATACTAACAAAGTAACAAAGAAATATTAAGTGTGATTGTATAAATAAAGTTGTAAGAATGTAAAAATGCAATTGTGAACAAACATGTAAAGACTAGGTAAAATAATATGTGAAAAGCTGAAAGTTAAAAAGGACTAAATAAACCAACCATAAATCAATATTGTTAAAGATCGGGATTTTACCAAATATCGTTTTATGTTTTGCAATATCATAATCGTAAAATCGGATCGGGATTGGAAGATCCTACCAAAATGAACTTCTATTCAAATTTGCTCGTAAGATCTTATATGTGAAGTATACATTATAACTTGATGTGGATTAAAACTTTAATATGAAATGAACTTTATCTTTTTAAAGATGAATCATTATTTTTGTTGTTGCAAATGATAAAATTAGGGAGAAAACATCTTTAAAAAAAACAAAAAAAAAATGTTATGATCTACAACTAAAGGCTTAAGGTCACAAAAGAGATATCAAGATTGTAGCCTAATTTGAGATGAAGTACTAATGATCGATAAGGATATTGCAACTTGCAATCTTCGATTTTATGTTGAATAGAAATTTGTATGAGGTTCAATTATATAATAAAACTAAAAGGTGAGATCAGATCGTATTAAAATTTTAAAAATCTAGTCGGGATCCTAACAATATAGATCTTGATTTTAGATAGATCCTAGTGAGATTGGGATCATTTCTGGCTTATAAAATCTTAAAATCGTAAGATCCCAAGATTAAGATCAAGATCAAGATTTTAATAACCATACCATAAATTAAGAGATTTTAAAATGCCAAAAAAGAAAATAAAAAAGAACATAAATAAAGAATTGTGTATTCTAAAAAAAAAAAACTGCTATGTCGAATCACAAAAATAAAATACACACAAACTAAACAAGTTAATGAACTTTAAAACGCAAAAAATAATAAAGTAGCTAATACAGTATTTTGATTCAATTTCATATTTAACCTTAATTTATATGGGAACTGAAATTAAAAATATATAATAATTAAAGAAATATATTATGGTGTCCTACTCAGCATTTCTTGTAGGTGCTCTTTGTTAATTACGATTGATAAAGTAAAGACAAAATCTTCCCCAATCATAAATAACGTCTGATTAGCTTAGATTAATATAATTTGAAAGAATGTGGATTTTCGGAAGGAAAGGAGAATCAGGATTTTCCTCTTCTTCAACAGCAGAGGAAGTTACCCACGGAGTTGATGGATCTCGTCTCACCGCCATTGTTACTGGTACAACCATTTTATTTTGGATAAATCGTATAAATCATTTTGTAAATTTAAAGAATAAATATACATCTTTATATGATTGCAAATATACTTGTTATATATTCAAGAAAGATGGCTTTGAGAATCTTCATTGCTATATATATACGACCACAGTTAACTACTTGTAACTAATGTTCTGTATTTTTAATTTCATTTATGTTGTTTGATTTATTAAAAGTCAAATTTGTAATTATATTAGTGTTACATTTGCAAAATTTATGTATCCAAGTTGTATAATTTTGTTGTTATACTTATAGTTTAAAATATATATTAATAATAATGAAAAATCATAGATACAAGTATAGAAATAGTGATATGTATCTAATTTTAGGAGCTACGAGTGGAATTGGGGCTGAGACTGCACGTGTCCTTGCTTTGCGTGGTGTACATGTAGTGATGGCAGTGAGAAACATAGAATCCGGTAAACAAGTTAGAGAAACTATACTTGAAGAAACACCTACTGCTAAAGTCGATGTAACGGAGCTCGATCTCAACTCTCAAGCATCTGTAAGGGATTTTGCAACCAGATATTGTTCTTCAGGCCTTCCACTACACATTCTAATGTAAGAAAACATACTGATGATTAAATTTATGTCAAAAGCTATATATAACATTTGGTGTATTTTGTTGTAAGCAACAATGCAGGAGTTTTGGCCCCACACTTCACACTTTCTGAGGAGAAAATCGAACTGCATTTTGCAACAAATCATTTAGGTATGTTTGGTTGCATTCGCTTTTGACTTTTGAGTTAAGTTACTTATTTCTTAATCCATGTAGAGAAATCATTTTGCATGCAGAAGTAAAATTAAGAAAAGAACCTTCTTAAAAGTTACAACTGTGTTGTCATTTTTTTCCTTTTGGTTTTCATGAAAACATTAGATCAAAACGCTCAGTTATTGGGATTTTTTATCAGGTCATTTTCTTTTGACGAACCTATTGCTGGAGACGATGAAGATTACTTCGTTTGAACAGAAAGTTGAAGGAAGAATCATCAACGTATCATCCACTGGTCATCGTTTTGTGAACAAAGGAACTTTCTCTGATCAAATTAACGATGAATCGAGGTAAACAATTAAATTACGAAGTCTTCATCAGTGTGACAGTGTCACAGACAAAACAATCTTTTTGTAAATTGCGCTGACTTCAATCCTATGTGGCTTTGTATTATGCAGTTATAGCCATATACACGCCTATGGACTATCAAAGTTGGCTAATATACTTCATGCAAACGAGTTAGCAAGGCTTTTGAAGGTGATTTCGTTTTCTTTTTGGGATCTGATCGATTTGCTTGATTAAAGCTTATGCTAACCGCATCATTAATTAATTTTGATCAGGAGGAAGGGGTCAATATTACCGTGAATTCATTACATCCCGGATTCATTGTCACCGAAATTTTCCGTAATTTTGGTATTTTCAAGGGTATGTATCACTAATATTATTTAATTGTAATGGGATTAATTTGTTGACCAAAGCAATCTTGATAAATATTAAACAAGTAAGACTGGTACGGAGTGCACACTTGTTTGAGTTTATTCAAAATTCAAAATACGCTGTCATTTGGGGTGAAACCCCCTAAACCAACATGGTCCGGGGGTAATGCCCCTTTGTAGCGGAGTCCAAGGGGTGGCATCCCCTGACGGGGTTGAGCTAACGATTTTGCCCCTGATGTTGACCCTAAGGGTTGACCCCTGACATATAACCATTTTTAGGGGCAGTTTTCGTGACAATTTTGAAAGTGTCTTATGGCAGTTTTGCTGTCAGTTTTTAGAAAAGGGTATTATACCCGTATTTGGTTATTAATATGGTTCAGAAGAGATCATAACTACACAGATTCTCTTTTCTAGAACATCACTAAAATTTTTCTAATTGAGATTTCGAGAACCATCGAAATACTTCAATTTGATAGTGCAATCAGGACTTTTAGTGAATCCAAACAATTTCGAAACCCCGATTTTCTAACATATTTAAATGTTATTTAATGACATTTTGTTACCTCAGTTATATGCAATGCGATTCTCAGACACTTAGTCAAGGATGTTTCACAGGTTTGTAGTTTAGTTTTGATTTTGTTGAAATAATATTTGCATTTACTAAACAAAATGAATTTCTATTAATCAATTTGGTTTTCAGGGAGCGGCAACCACGTGCTATCTAGCGTTGAATCCAAAGGTAAAAGGTGTCACTGGTGAGTACTTTTCTGACAGTAATTTGGTGAAACCATCATCGAAAGCTATGGATCCAATGTTAGGCAAGGAATTGTGGGAGTTTAGTTTGAGCTTAACTACCACCAAGTGATTACGCTTGAGCTTTGGGTGAAGGTTTATGGCGATATATAACAAATTTGTATGGCATAATATAATCACTTATAATACTATTAGTCTATTATATAAAATTATATAATAATTAGTTCTATAATTAAAAGTTTATAATGTTACTGTGCATGAAATTCAAAAGCCTCTTCTTTTTGTTTCCACTAAAACCCAAATTTATCAACCTATTTCCACACATAGATCCTTTGATTTTCCCAGAAAGTTTTTTCTAGACACTATTTCATCGTTACTTGTCATACAGCCACACATGAAAACTTTTGATCTTACCTCCATATGTCACCTTCTTTTTCCATGGCTTGTGTATCCTAAAAAACGACGTTCCTTTTTTTTAGAGATGTCAAAAAGAAAAGGGAAATGATTTTTCAGTATGGATAACCCATGACTACCATACACTATAATCAAGTATGAGATAGTCTGCTTGAGTAAGAGTATGCACATAACCATAATATACTATAATGACACCACTATTCTATTCTCAGTTTGATCCCATTAGGGCCGGGCTACATGCGTTAGTGTCCGATATGATTATTTTCCTGTAAAGAACATCTTATAATGGCTATGAGGAATGAGCACCATGAACTACAAAGCATGCCACAATGGGAATGGTTGGAGTTTTTTTTTTTTTTTTTTGTAAAAATGGAGCTATTTTCAAAACTGTTTGTAAAAACAGGGTTTTTTCAAATCCATTTGCAAAGATGGGGTTGTGGCCCCGCTTAAACTATACGTATGATTTTTTAATTACATAAATGGTCCTTGTACATTATTAGAATTTTTCAGTTTTATATTTTATAAATTTTCAATTACACATTTAACTTTTACGTATTATTTTTATTTTCTAAATTTACCAACTTTATACATAATATTTCTTTTATAATAAATATATTATTAATGTAATATTATTTCATTATAAATATATTATTAAATTTTATACATGGACCATACTAATTTATACAACTAAAAATATATCATTTGACACCTTCAAATCTAGGGGTGAGCATTTGAACCGACTTTTGGACCAGAACAGTTATGGAGAATATTGTGGACCGTGGACTGGAACAGATGAATCGTATCCGTGTCCGTGTCCGGGTCTGGGTTTTCCAGTTCTTGGACTCGTTTGGACCGGTACAACTTTAATTGCATAGAGTACAAGTCGTTAAAAAAGTTTTTTGAGTTTGATAGAATTCGTTAAAACAAATATTTTATTGGGTTTGATACGATACAACTTGTAAAAATGATTACATTTCCTTTTCATGCATAACCATGGTTCTAAAAAGCGCGCCATGACGCGCCTCAAGGCGTGCCATGGCGCGAGGCGTGGTGTAGCCGTTACGAAAACGTCCAAGGCGGGTTTGTGAAGTGTGGCGCCCAAATAATGTGTCAAGGCGTGCCTTATTGCGTTATGGGCGCGAGTTTTTTTCAAAGCACAAGTTTTTTGTTATTTTTTCTTTTGTTTTCTTTATCGGGCCTAAAATAAATGAGTTTTTGTTAATTTTTTTTCTATTAGATATTAATATAACATTTCTAAAAACTTCATATATTTGATAAAATTCAATAATTATATGATTTATATCTTTTAATGTATATAATACAGTCACGCCTTGAAAAACGTCATGGCTCGCCAAGGCTTGTCATGGCTTAACTTTTACCTTGCCGCCAAACAACGTCTTACGTTATTTAGAACCTTGTGCATAACTAATATATCTTGCTGCTATAATATTATAACTTGCAAAATAAATTTTCCAAATAAAAGCAACTAACATATAAATAAAGTTCACTAAGATCCTTTTCATATGAATTATTTGTCAAAGATACATAAAATTCATAATTATAGTCTAAAATAATAGTTAAAAAGTTGAAATTTTTCAGTTTTGGTAACTCAACTTTGAAGGATCGTAACTCACTGAATATAATATCAAAATCAACAAAATTATAGTCTAACTTCATCTACAAACTGTAAACTAAATGTTGGAAAAAAAAACCGCATGTCAATCCAACTTAAAACGAATGAGTTATGGTTGTTTAAAAAGTTTCACAAATTACAAAATTTTAAAAATCTTGCTGAAAAAATGAAAATTTTCAGCTTTAATAGCTCAACTTTGAAACACCGTAACTCATTGAATATAATAGCAAATCAACAAAATTATAGTCTAAATTCATCTACAAAACTGTAAATTAAACGTTGAAAAAAAACACGCGTCAATTTGACTTAAAACGAATGAGTTATGGTTGTTTAAAATTTTTCACAAATTAAAAAATTTTAAAAATGTTGCTGAAAAGCTGAAATTTTTTAGTTTTGATAGCTTAACTTTGTAAGACTGTAACTCATTGAATATAATTCCAAAATCAACAAAATTATAGTCTAAATTCATCTACAAACTGTAAATTAAACGTTGGAAAAAAACCGTATGTCAATCCGACTTAAAACGAATGAGTTATAGTTGTTTAAAATTTTTCATAAATTATAACTTTTTTTTAAATCGGGTCCAACCAGTTCTAAACCCGGTAAAAACCAGACCGGACCGGAAAAAAAACTGGACCGGTTTTGATGGATTCCTAGAGCCGATAACCGGCCCAGGGGTCCAAAAAAACGGTCTGTGTAACATCCATAAAAATCATGTCAGATTTAAACTTTTTTAAAACATTTCAAAACCAATGATTATTACAAAACTTGTTTTTAAAATAGTATAATGTTAGAGTATCCCAGAATCAAATCATAAAATCATGTTAGGAGCTGTATAATCCTGCCTTCGCCTTTCTGCCCTAAAACAACAATCGATAAATATAAGCTTGAAGGCTTAGTAAGTTACCCCAGAATACCAACGACATACAGATATAATCATATCATATAAACAAATACAACATGTAAGATCATGCCTTTTGCGTTGTGCTATCAATAGAGCAACATAATCTTTTACGGCGCATGTTTTTGTACCTTTTCATAAGATTACTTATGACGTGTCGAACACAAAAGCGATGGTATGCTAATGGCAATATATATATATATATATATATATATATATATATATATATACACACACACACACACAGTTATGTTTGAGATAGAAAAAGAACTAATAATACAAAAATGAGAGAAGTATGGAAACTGAGGATGCAAATATAAGGAACGAAAAAGTTGTAAGACTGATGAGAAAATTCAATTTAGTGATTGGAATTAATAGCATCAAAAAATAAAATGTACTCGATTATAAATAAATACATACTTTATGTTCGAGATAGAAAAAGAACTAACGATACAAAGTTAAGAGAAGCGTGAAAACTAAGGATGCAAATGAGAAATTGAGGATGCAAATATGAGGAACGAAGAACATGTATGTTTAATGAGAAAATTCAATTCGATGATTGAAATTAATAACATCAAAAAGTAAAATGTATTCGATTATAAAGAACATAGATGACAACTCATTAACAGCAAAATATCAAATGTACATTGAAATTTTTGGATTCATACGTCAGTATCTCAATTAAAAGTAAATGTCATTCTCTCATTCATCATGATGCAACTTATACGTTGATGAGTACAATGTAATTCAAGTCACAACCACTTTCTCGAACTATATTACGAAGCCTTGAGCGTCAATTCTAGCAGATTGTCATGACATTTTGATTTTATATGTATGTGGGTGTGAATCTAATGACGAGAGTAAGTATGGTCCTACTTTTTTATGGAATGCAAACTTACATCATTAAGAGTGTACTCCATACAAGTGTTGCATTGTGCTTCTAGTGGTTTGTCTTATACGCTTATATAGTTTAATGCTTGGTAACAATTTCATTTTGTATTATATTTATGATGCATGTTATTAGCATAATAACTTAGTTGAAACTCTACAGTGGTATCATAGATCCTCCTTAGGGGACCATATTTTTGTATGAGGTGACATAAGTGGCAGAGAACATGTAAGCTAATGGTTTCCAAAGTATTTGAGGTCATTAGAATATAATGTCTTGCATAAGTGGAAGATTATAAGAGTTCGAATATAACCATAACATATCAACGTTCCTACTAGATTGTTAATTTAATCCAATAAGAGTCACGCATAAAAAATATGGTGTATAATATGATCATCATCTTGTGACGAGGGAGTCTAATATGTAAATATCGTATATCAACATATTGTTGGGTCAAAGTCGACGATACTAATGGAATTGTATAAGTGGCATGTGCATTATGCAATTTTTATTAATAACTTTTGATGTTTTTAAGAAAATTATATATATATATATATATATATATATATATATATATATATATATATATATATATATATATATATATATATATATATATATATATATATATATGAAAAGTGAATATACCCTTAAGAGCACCATATTATGTCGCTTTCTATCATATAATACATTCTAATTCTAATTGTTCAATGTTCATATAATTTAACTTCAAATTTGATTTACTTCCAAGATTATTATAAATTACATATAAATCTTTCTTTTACGTAAGTTTCATTTTCAACTACAATATATATAGTCTAATAAGTGTTCGGCAAAAAGATGTGATATAAGAGAAAGATATTAACGAAATTTCAAAAATCTTGAAAGTTAATCAAGTTAGGAGTTGAAGTTTAAACAAATTATAATAAATATATTAAACAAAACGACGTATTATGTTGTATTTGGGTAGCTAAGCTTATATACCCTTAAGAGTATATTCACTTTTCCTTATATATATATATATATATATATATATATATATATATATATATATATATATATATATATATATATATATATATTCCTTTTCCTATTCTAATAAAAGAATAAGTTTATTCTCCTATTGATATTATATCTCACCTATCATGCCACTTGTCAACCTATTAATTGTCAATTTCAAATTATAAAATTATGTTTAAAATAAGATAAGTAAATAAATAATAATCCCTAAAACCTCGAGATGTATATTATATTATTTTAATTTAATTTAACCCT